CCACTCGCGGTCTTCTACATCATTTCTGTATTTAAATTCAAAGTTTCATTTATATTTAATTTAATGCTCCTACGCACTATTTTTATTTTTTAAGAATTATATGTACAAGTGAATCAATTTTCAACACAACTTCCTAACATGACATATAAAATTTATGTTCGAATCGATTCGTTTTCAAATTCATGTTTTATTTGTGTTGGCAAAACCTGACCTGAAAAAATTTGTATCGTGTCACGTGTCAATCTACAAGCTCAGAATTGGTTCACGTTAATTTTCTTACATGTTTTTCGTGTTGTGTTATGTCGTAAATAAGTTGTTCATGTTTTATCATATCATATTGACCCACATAATAAAGTAACACAATTTGGAATTGACAAGTTATTCATATTGTTTCATGTTTATGTTAACCCACATAATAAGCAAAACATTATGATATTGTGGATTATTCATGTCTTATCAATCTCCAAAATAAGCGAGTCGCGTTTGTATCGAATATTTTGACCCAATTTTAAATTTATGTTATATTGATATTGAGTGTATTCATGTTCATGTTAAATTCATGTCACGTCATATTCACATGAATTGTCACCCTAATAAAGATATGGATAATTTTTGATATATTCAAAATATATTTAAAAAGAAAAGAATGAAGGCAGCCAAGTACATTATGCCATCTCAGAAATAGACCTGTATTAGCTAGGATCCACATGGAGCATCGCGAACCCATAAGTTCCATCCAGATTGCTAAGTATGAATATGACTTGCTACAAGTGGCTGCAAAGCATGACGTGGCCTTACAGTTACACCATATAAATTGTGAAAAGAATGTGTATCATTTTAAAGGATGTAAATTTGTGTCATTTTAAGAGAGAGAAAGAGATAAATAAAGGAAGAAAAAAGTTGACAAAAAAATAAAAGTGTGGATCTCACCTCTTTGTGAGAGTGAAATGATATAAGTTATGTCATTTAAAAAGATAAACAATTTTTCCATAAACTATTGTGATGGTGGGGTATTTTATACGGTTAAATTCCCGTTTTTATCATAAATTCCGTATTCTGCTATCCTCAACTTATGAATCAGCAAATACTTGGCTTTCAGCCAAGGAGGAATTTGTGTGGCCTTTAAAACTTCTCTGTTCTATCAAAATTTTGATTAATTCAACTTTTTTGGTCGATAACATATGTTTTAGATATGGCAAAACTCACCACAGGTCCACAGTTATGTGGAAAAAAGTTATTTTTTTCTGTTTATTGCATGTAAAGGGGAGTGGTTAGACTAACAGATAAAAAGGTTAGATCAGTCAAGCAATTAAGATAACATCCAACAGTTATGTATTTGATTGACACTTTTGTGTTGCACTTTGGACGAAGATGGTTTACAACGTTTAATTGTAAATCATGAAGGTTTAAAGATGCGCACTTGTGTCTGTACTTTTTTTATAACTAAACTCCATATATATTCCATACTTTGGGACTTGGGTGCTCGGGAAATGCATGACTTAATTTCGTAGTTACTTAAGTAAGCAAGGGATATTGGAGGACCAAATAACGAGCAAAATACATATGGTTTGCTATTGTTTTGAGCATTGAACTATTTTCAAATTAAAAATTTCTGCTACATATCATTCCTCCAATTTGAAAATCCTTCACAAATCTGGAAAGGAAAAGGTTTTTATGTGTTGTGAGAGTTTTGTAGCATTTTATATAAAGCATACGTAACACACACATTGCATAATCATATATATCCTTAGATTAAAATATTTTAATAAATTAAATTTAAATGATTGCTAACTATTTAATGGACGTTTGGTAGAGAATAAATTTTGTTATTCATGAGAATATACTAAAAAATATGCTGAAAAAATGGTTTCTCAAGAATGTGACTAAAAAAATTGATTGGTAAGACAAAATATTATTAAAAACATTGATTCAAATTTATTGAATTTATATTTAGTTGATTGTCAAATATTACTAAAAACATGAAGTAATTTTACAAAAATAATTTCACCTTCCACTTTTTTTTCTTCTAACACCTTAGGTTTTCTCCACACCCTTCTTCTCAACAGTTGGCCAAATAATATTGCAGGGTGATTAGCCAACGCCCTTTCCAACGATTTATGAGACAAAATCGAATTTTGATAATAACTAGACAAAATCGTTTATCAAAATTACAATTTATGGAAAATTACTTGCTTCAACGATTTATGAAGCCAGAGTGTTGAAGCACAGGGGAGAGAAAGAATGAGTTGTGTGGTGGCCAATAAAGCGTTTTGGTGTTGGAGTGACGAGGGAAGTGAGGGAGCACCCTCTCACCATAACTTTCATGGTGGAAAAATTGCAAGATTTTCTGGGAAAATAGTTTGGAAGAAATGTTACTAGCAGAGGATCGATGACGATGCAAGGGTTAAGTTTAGACATAAAATTTATGAAAAAGATTATCACTCTCAGTTTTCTAAGAATATTTAAAAAAAACTTCTACCAAACAAGTAATTTTCCTTTACCACTCGGAAAAAAAAAATGTTTTCTCTTTACTAGTGTGATAATTGGGTGTTCGCGGTCTGGATTGGATCGATTTTGGAAGCAAAACTCATCAGATCCAATTCCTACGATTTGATCATGTAATCATCCATTCGGTTTAGATTTTTTTCCAAATCCGATCCGATCCAATCCAATTTGTTTCGGTTTGGATTGGATCGGTTTTCAGTTTTTTAAATATCCTAAAATTAGTTTCATGATTATTGTGCAAATAAAATCTTTTGTATATATTGGCTTTGTAAAAAAAATTCATTAAACAATACTATAGTTGTTGAGACGTGACTAAGTTTTTTCTTGGATTTAGTTTATGAGTTAATGAGTCTTGAGTTTAGAAATTTTTGGGCTATGATGGGGGAAAGGACAAATAGGTAGAGGATAATTAATATATTGGATCTGTTTGGATTGGATCAACTTTCATCAACCCATCCGAAAACCGATCCAATCCAATTAAAATTTGCGATTTTTTTCGATTTTCGATTTTTCGATTTTCGGTTTATTCGGTTATCGATTTTTCGGTTCGGTTTTCGCGGTTTGAATCAGTTTGGATCGGTTGATGAACACCCCTAGCAATAATTACGTTGAGTGTTCAATTTGTTATTAGGTCAAATATATATTTTTCTTTTACTTAAGCGCATGAAAAAAATGTTAATTTACTAATTAATAAATAATATTTATACTCTTATAATTATTATTTTGTGTTTTATTTATATATCAAGACAATTTAATTTGTGATAAAAAAATGTTATCTTGTTATTTAGTATTTTCTAAGAGGGACAATATTAAGTAAGAGGAATGATTAATTGTGCGAGTAAGAATAACAAATCCTTATCGTTAGCTCTGCATGTGTAGTTGATTGAATATGTAACTAAAGGAGTCCACATAACCATCAGTTTGAAAAGAATAAACACAATACAATATTATGTATGTTTAAGGAGGTAGGATCTTTTGACACACTGGTGTCAAATTTAAAATTTGACACTTCATCTGAGAGTCATTAGATAAAAAAAGATCAATGGTGTCACAAGATTATAAATCACAGTCATTGATCTTTCTTGATCTAATGGCTCTCAGATGTAATGTCAAATTTCAAATTTGACACTGATGTCGAAGGATCCTAGTTTAAGATATGCAAGAGTGCAAAAGTGACTTTATTATCACGTTTGAAAATTGTAACAAAAGAAACATTTATTTTACGTGACCTTTCAATCTTTCGAGTTCAATAAAATATTAACTTAGTATTAGTTGTTATGAAAATTTCACGCTTTTTTTAATAACTTAAATTTCTCAGCTTTTAATTTACATATATCTTTTAAGAGATGCCAATAATAATAATAATAATTAAGTAACTAGAAAATAAAAATTCGATTAAGATGTTTAAAAACATAACGGGGTGTATAGAATTAGGACTTTAAAAGACTATTTTGAAATAAAAAAATCTTATAAATTTTAAACGGTTATCTAGAATTGAAGTGGTTTTAAAGATTTTTTTTTCAAGCAAGATTTTATAAGATGTATAAGATTGCATCTTAAAGGATTTTAACAGAATTTAAAAAATTTAAAAGGACAATATAAATTTATAAGATTTTTAAAAATCTTATAAATTTTAACAAATATTTAAAATTATAAAAGTTAATAAAAAAAAGAAATGCAATGATATTAATAAAAAAAATAAAACCTAATGTAATTTTTTTTATTAGTAATTTGAAGTAACTTGATGTCTTATTAAGCAAAAACTCTCAACATATCTGTATTAGCCCTCACACATTAGCATTTTTTCATCCCTGTCTCTTGAGTTTGACCAATGCGTTGAAATTATCTTCTCGTTCATGCTCTCTCTTTCCGTTTGCTTTCTCTCTATTATTTTGTTTGATTGGGGCAAAGAATTTGTCCTGCCACTAAAGTAGAAATCATTTTTCCTTTATTAATTATAGAAAAAATATTTCTCATGTTATAGAAGATAATCTTATCTCCTACGTACATAAAAATATGTAAGAATTTATATTTTTTCTCTTTTTTTTCTTCATATAGCTCCATATGACCCATGTATTTTTATATGTGTATAAAAAATAAAATTAATTTCTACGACATGATAAATATTTATCCCTTTATTATATGATTGTAAATCATATTTGAAAGTAGTTTGCTTTTTGTTCTTTTATTTTCAAAGAGAAAAAGAAATATCATTTAAAAGGACATAAGTTGTGTGATAATTTACACAAAGTATGATCAGTCACATCGCTGACGTGTAAAGTGAAAAAAAAAATAACTTTTTAGAATTATACAGAGTATGACTGGTCATATTCTGTGTAAGTCACTAAAAAAATACAACTTATATCATTTTAAATGACACACACTAAACCCGTCTTAAAATTAAGCGAGTGACCCAATATTGTAGCGTACCCTCCTCGAGGGAGAAAAATCCCTATAAATAAGGGACAAATACCAGCACAGATAGGGTTGAAGGCGCTACTCCAAAGTCCAAAGCACCTTCACTTTCTTCAAACTCTCTTTCCTATTTTCTCATTAAACCAGAAAATGGACAACATTCAACCCGAATCCAAACCTGAACCCGAGCCCATCATACTCGGATCCTCCCAATCCGCTTCTGACGCTCCCAAATCCACCATCAAATTCCTCTGCAGCTACCGCGGTAAAATCCTCCCCCGCTACCCCGACGGCAAGCTCCGCTACCTCGGTGGCCAGACCCGTGTCCTCGCCGTCGATCGCACCATTCAATTTTCCGGTCAGTCCTCTATCTCTCTATAGATTTTTTGACAGTTCCAATTTTCAGTCATCGAGAGTGAAATTGCGCTTGCAAATCATAATAACCGTAATCGTGTTTATTACAGAACTGCTATCGAAGCTGGAAGAGCTGTGTGGCTCCTCCGTTAGGCACCTTCGATGCCAATTGCCCGCCGAAGACCTTGACGCTCTGGTTTCCATAACCTCCGACGAGGATCTCGCCAATCTCATCGAGGAATACGATCGCGTGATGTCGCCGCCGTTGAAGATCAGAGCCTTCCTTTCGCCGCCGAGATCTTTGAACAAACTTTCCGCACATCCGTCGATGTCTCTGTCAAAATCAGCCTCCTCCTCCTCTTCCTCCTCCGCGTCGTCGTCGTCTTCATCGTCGTGTCAAAGCCCTACCGGTGGCGGTTCTGGTTTCTGTTCTGGCCGGAGCTCTATCGCCGCGGCGGCGCCTGTGGTCGACCGCTGCGTCCATCAGATGTCGCCGATGACGGCGTATCCGGTCGGCGTGGAGAAATCTTCTGTGAGGAATATTCCTCTGCCACGCTACGGTTACCACGCTCAGGGGAACACTGGAAACGTTTATCTGATCCATAACGGCAACCACTGGCAATAGCGCTAGACTCGTTTGATTTCGTCCACGGATGATGGAATGGAACTAAGAGGCAGCTTTTATTAAAAAGAGAAAACAAAAGGAATTTTACGACAATATATATATATATATATATATATATATATATATATATATCGAGAAAAGAGAGAGAGAAAGGAAAAGCCCTGGATATATGTGTGATGTAAAATGGGACTGTAAAATCGTAAGATGAATTGCGGTTTTAGCTTGTGATCCTTGCTTGCCCATTAATGAATTTCACACCAATTTCGTTGTTGGCTCCATTTTTGTAATGATGGTGAGTTCGTTCGTTCGTTCGTCCTTTTCTTTTCTGTGTCTTCGTCGTGATTTTTTTTCTTTTTTCTGTAGGATAAATTCCATAGCCAAATTGTTCTGACTCCATAATTTCATTGTGGACCTGTTCTTTTTGTGCTATGGCTAACGCCCCCGTCCTCTTTCCTTGTCACCCCCCCCCCGCGTTAAATTTCTTTCGGTTTTTACAGATTTTATTTTATTTTATTTCATTTAAGAGTTTCTATCTGGATTGATTAATAGTTTGACATTTTTGATTGCAGGTTTAACCAGAAGAATGAAAAATCTTACTCAACACAGATGCCATTTGGCAGGCTTCCATTGTAAGTTTTCTACCCAGACATAAATTTGGTCTCTTATTCCTCACAAAGTGATGCTTTATTCTTTAATAGCTATGTAGCTGTCATTACTCGTTACTCTTTGGTGTTGCTTAGCAATTTATCCATGGCTATGTTCCACCTTTTTGAAAAATATTTAATCCTATTCCATTATCAGTTATTTTATACTTTTTTTTAATCTAGAAAATGCATTTCTTTGGAGATTAGAGATAATTTGTGTTATCATATTATAGTAGTCATTTGCTTTGTTTTCGCCCCCATGAAAAAACCTACATATTATGTTATTTTTTAACTAACTTTTTGTGTGTCCTCTGCTCTACATAAACTGTCTCTCCGTGTTTCTTTCCTTTTGAATTACTAATAATGAGGTTCAAGTTCAGTTCTGAGATTTGGGCCAGATTCAAATGAAGTGCTATTATGAACACTGGATAATATCTTGGATTCCTATTAACACCAGATAGGGATACCGATGCGATGTTGGAAGGTGGAAACATATGTCATGGGGGACCAGACTCCGTGCAAGACATTAAATGACTCATCATAATGAAAATTAAAAGTATCTCAGGACAGCTGGCACATGAATGTTGAAATAACTTGAACTCATGAGATGTAATATATGGTTCAAATTAATAGAACTAACATAAAATGAAAATGTTTTTCTTTTTAAAAGAAGAATAAGTATCATAAAAGAACGAGAAAAAAAGACTAAAAATAGGCCGGGTCATCCCTTCCTCAAAGAACGGGTCAAAAAATTTGATTTGGTGTTGGAAATAAAAGGACCTCCACTCACGTAACATTCAAAGGGTAGATTCCTTCCGCTGTGAGTTTTGGAATGACCCCCATTTTGGATTGACAAACGAAGCATGAAAGTGAGCTCATCTTTGTTATATTCCGGAACACGGTTTACTAATATCCTACCCCACCATGTGCGATCTTTTATTCCTATCTCTTTTTAAGTTATATTATGTGTGTTTAAGAAAGATAAAAGGGTAACAAATTTAGAATAATTGAACATTTGTTGCAATAAAAGATTGAATAAGAAGATTAATCAGACAAAAGAGAGAATAAAGAAAGAGGTCTCTTATTACCAAAAAGAAAAAAGAAAAAAAGAAAGAGGTCTCTGCTTGGAGAAGGGACAAATTCATGGATCTGTCACAGGTAATCCTACTGACATTGTAATGTTATTCTTTGATGACAAGGAAACATCAATATAAGAAAACCGGGTAAAAGATAAAAAAATTCGGTACTTGATATCAAAGTTTCAGTATATCACCCCCACTTTTGAAAGGAAATAATCCACTTGTTGCGATTTTGAGGCCGGAAACCTTAAACAGGAAAGTTAGAAGAGCAAAAAACATACAGCAGAAAAACAAGAAACAAAAGAGAACAACACACCAGAAAATTTACTTTGTTCAGAGCTTTGATATTTCTATTAAAATTCTAACATCAAGTTCTTTGATATTTCTAATGTTAGAGTGATACAACTGGTTCAGATAATGACAGAAAAATAATAAAGAAAACAAGTTTTTTGGGTCCAGAAGCAACAACTTCTGGGTTTTCTGAATATTAATGGTCTGAGATTACAATACTAGAATTTAAAGGCTATTAACTACTATGACAACAATGAAATAAGAAAAATACAATTCAACACAATTAAAGAGGTGTTGATTTCTCTCCCAAGTCCCAAGTTCAGATTGTCAAGCGCCTCTCCTTCACCATTGCCTTGCTTCAAATAACCAACTCCTTTCTTGCCACGTTATCATTCTCCTCTCTTTCCCGATTCCCCATTCTAATAGAATTCCCTTCTAGAACCTCCTCTGCTGAGTCAGCTATTCCAAATGTTCCTCTATGACCTTCTTAGAGTAAACCTTGAGTCCCACAGTATCAATACTCTCCCCCAAAACTTTCACTTTGTCCCAAACGTGAAAATCTGGAAAATTCTGATTGAGACTAGTTGAATCTTCCCAAGAATTTTAAAAGGATGGTAAATGTAACCATTTGATCAGCACCTCTGTGCGGCCTACCACATTCTGTCTCCACCTCAAAACAGCTTCCGGTTGCACTTGCAACTCGAACTCGTCTGTTAACATCAGGGCAGAGGTTGCACAAAAGTAGACGGTGAAACAACCTTTTTGAGAAGAGACACATGAAACACCGGGTGAACCTTACTCTCAGGTGGTAACTCCAACTGCAACACGTTGCACTACGGAAAATGGACCATAAAAACGGGGCTGAGTTTTTCATTGATTTTTTTAGCTAAAAACTTCAATCTACACGGGTGCAATTTCAAATAAACCGATTCACCCACCAGAAATTCCACATCTCATCTGTGTTTGTCCACTTGCTGCTTCATTCGATTTTGGGCCACCAATAAATGTTGCTGTAGATCGTGTAAAATAGCATCCCTATCAACCAGTAACCTAGAACTTCTTCAACAGGGGAATTAGCAAAGAATGAATGCAACAAAATGGGAGGCTCGCAACCACATAGCACCTTAAAGGGAGTAGTTCTGGTCGAATCTTTATAAGAAGTATTGTACCAAAACTCGGCCCAATGCAACCAATGGGGCCAAGTCTTTGGCTTTGGACTGCAAAAACAGCGCAAGTACGTCTCCAAACAACGGTTAACCATCTCAGTTTGACCATTAGATTGAGGGTGATAAGTCGTATTGTACTTGAGCTTAGTGTCAGAACACTTAAAAAGTTCAGTCCAAAAAGAATTTAGAAAATTTTTATCTCTATCACTTACTATAGAAGCAGGGAAGTCGTGTAGACGAACCACTTCTCTGATAAAAATCAGAGCTACGTCCTTAGCAGTTAACCTGGCCTGTTTTTTTGTAATTTAAGGGACCACTATGTCCCTTTTTTATTGCTAGGGTAATAAGGGGTTCGTGGATATTGCCAGGGACCAAAAATAGACAGAAAACAGAAGGGGACGTTCTTATGCCTGCAACTCTTATGCTACATAGATATGAGAGGAATCAGTGTCAATATAATATGAAATTAGTAGGGAACATTGACCAAAATGTCATTGTTCATCAAGTTTTTTACCTAAATGTCACACGAATTGTGTTATTTTTCAATATGTCACGTGGGCAAGTTTGCTGGGCATTGTAGCGAACTCAGTTGCTGACGTGTCACGCTTTTAGTGGACACAAGTTCGCTACACGCTCATCTTCTCATTTCGTGAAGAGAAGCTCTATCCGTTTGGTCCAAAACAAAGTTTGTTTTCTTGATTGTGCTTGGTCTGTTTAGTTATCAAGCCTACATATATTAAATCTTAGGGCTTAGGAAGGTGCAAATACCCCCAGAAACTTATTATTTGTGCCAAAGAATATCTTCTATTAATAAAACTATTGACTAGGCATGTGACACCAGACAAATAACTGGAAAGAAAAAATACTCATGAATTGGCATGCATAGACCAACAAACAATAAGTAAATGTACACAATATAAGAATAGAAAGGCTGAAGTTATAAACTTAATGGCAAGCCCAAAACGAAATAAATAAAAGAATTCGGCCTCGAAACTCCTAGAATGTTAACGAACAGTAAAAAAAACTATTAAAACGATTTAGACAAAGCACACGCCACCCCAACCAAAATGACCAAGTCAGATTAGGACGGCTACACAGTCACTCCCAATGTTATCAAACCCAAACATTGGATCAATAGGTCATTAGTTTAACGCCTTCGTGTATGGCTTTGATATTGGTTAAATCCGTTTTATGGCCGATTGATTGGTTTGATACCGACTCACTACACAGCCAATCCCTTAACTGGGAATAAAACTTTGATAATAGTGCAAATGTGGTATTATAAGTACAGAAAATTATTTCTCCAGAAAACATTATTTGTGCAGTTGTGGCATGAATAATTTATGTCACATGACACAAAAAATGAAAGAGAGAAAAACTCCTTTTTTATGACGGTGGCAGAAATAGTTTGTGTGTCACTAGGAGTGAAAGTAAGTTGGGTTAGGTCAAGCTTTATCTCGAAAAGTTCAAGCTTACACAAAAAGAATTTAATTTGATCTGACCCAAACTTAGTATGAGTCTAACTGTTGATCTGGCTTGACCTATTTATAAAAAAATAAATGGTCTAGCTTAGCCTGTTAGCCTGTTAATTTTTTACTTCAAAGCAGAATCATGAATCAAACTTTACAAAATACTCAAATTATGTTGCTATACCAAAAATCATAATTTCAACGTCAAAACAGAATCATGAATCACAACAAAACTCATAAAATATGCATTTAAGTCACTTTCAAAAGCAAAATGTTCAAACAAAAAACATATATTTCATCATATCCAACAAACAAATCCAGACTATGTAAATTAAAATAACTACATGAATCCAACAAACACATCATGATATTTATAGTAAGTATAACCTCTCCAAAAAAATCTTTTAATATATTCATATACACAATCTAATATGCTGAGATGTTGGCTCCTTCTACATAAAAAACAAAGTCAGTTTTCTATTAAAATATAATCGAATATAATTAAGTTATAAATAACTGCAATTGATTGAATTTATATCTTTTGTTTTTTTTTCGAGACATACTTATTCTATTTTATTTTATATAAAATAAATAGTACAATATAGGCTGGACTGTAGGCTTATAGGCCAGGCCTTGTGAAAGTGGGCCTACGACCTTTTTATTAAACAAACTTTTTCAAGGTCCAAGCCCGGTCTATTTTACGAAATATATTAGGTCAGGTCTGGCCTGACGTAGGCCCCTGTAGGTCGGCCCGACCCAGATTCACCTCTATCTGTCACAACTGCAAAAATAGTTTTCCCTTATAATTATAATAGTTATACTATTAAAATTATTATTTTTTCTCTCTTCACTTCAGCCAATAAGCTTTCGAATAGAAAGAAAGAAAACTTTAATTAATGGTGTTCGCAGTCTGGATTGGATCAATTTTGAGGCAAAAAATTCGATCCAATCTCTTCGGTTTGATAATTTAATCATCCATTCGGTTTGGAATTTTTTTAAAATCCATCAAATTTTATTCAATTTGGATCCGATCGATTTTTGATTTTTCGAAAGTTCTAAAATTTTAGTCATACAAAGTACTAGCTATATCAAAATAAAGCTATTCAAAGTTATAAACCACTATAAAATTAAAGTCTTTTTTTTTTTTGGTAAAGAAAAGGAGGACTAAGCCCCCCAAAAAACCAAAAACAAAAACGGAAAAAAGCTACGAATTACAAACTAAAACACAAGATCTTCCCACACTCGCCATATTAGCATTCAAGTCTTAAAACACATGAAGAGGTAAAATAGATCAATAGACAATAAAAAAACAAAAACAAGATAGTTTGCTATCAATAACATCCAAGATTCCAAATGTACAAAACAACAAAATTACAAGTCATTATTTAGAAAATAATAAATATATAATACATTAGATCGATTTTTACAAACCAAATCGAAAACCAATTCAATCCAATTAAAATATGAAAAAAAATTCAAATTTTTATTTTTCGATTTTCTGTTATCGATTTTGTAGTTCAGTTATCGCAGTTTGAATTGGTTGACGTACACTTCTAATTTTAATGTTATAACTATATATTCCACATAATAGTTATAAGGGAAATTATTTGTGTTTTAGAAGAATGTAAGTTGTGTTCTTTTAATTTTTTTACTCTGCATAGTTATAACATGATGAAAAAAATCATGTTATAACTATATACTACTAAAAGTACATAGAATAAAAAATTAAAAAAGAACACAATTTACGTCTTTTAAAAACACACACACTAAACTCATAATTAGAATACCACACTTCAACCGGTCTATCCGGTTTTAAAAATACTGTTCACCCCACTCGACCAAAACAACAGTCAACAGCGGAAAAGAGCAAAAACAGAGAACCCACTTCCCCTGTTTTTCTCTAGTCTCGTTTCTTTTCCCAATTTTCTGTCTCAGTTTTCTCCCTTTTTCTCTCCCCAAGCTTCCTCCTTTCTTTCTCTCCGTACTTCACTTTTCTTCCTCTTTCCTGCAGAAAATGGATCCCAACCCCAACGATTTTCCCATTCTCTGCTACCTATTAAACCAGGTAGATCCCCACAGCTATTCACCTCTACCCAGGGAACTGCAGCAATCTCTGCTGACCCAGTTGCCTCATTTGAACCACCCCAAAGTCTTACCCTCACTGATCCAACTCTTCAATGAACTTAACATCACTTACACACTGTCCCTTCTTCGAACCCTCGGTCCTCGACCAGACCCTTCTGCAGTTGCTGGTTCTCGGGCCAAGATCGCTGAAACCCAGTCCAGGCTCCTTAAGAATCTCGAAGGAGCCGAACCCCATGTGGCGGAGGAGCTGAAAAAGACGGCGGAGAACGAGGTGCAGGTGTATCAGGCCCTGGTGAGGATGGAGGAGATGCACGAGGAGTGTGTCAAGCAGCTGAGGGCTGCAGAGGAGAGGTTGGTCGAGGTTTATGGGTCGTGTGTGGCGCAATTGGTGGAAGGGGTTGATGAGATGGTGGATGAACAAGTTGTTGCAATATTGAGGAAAGCACATAGTGAGGAAGTGGAAAGGGTTGATCTTTCTGGGCGTCAGTTAAGGATTCTTCCCGAGGCGTTTGGAAAGATTCGTGGGCTACTTGTGCTTAATTTATCTCGCAATCAGTTAGAGGTATGTATGGTCTTCTGTCTATCTTTTTGTGTGTGATTGTTCAAAGCAAAACCTTATGGGTACGTATATGGGTGTGATGATGTGCTATGATAATTTTGTTAATTGATGAATGCCAAAAATAGAAACATTTATGGGAGAAGTAGGGAGAGAAAAGAAGTAAAGGTTTGTGTAGAGTCATACCCGACCAAATAATTAGAATGAAATAACCAAAACAATGCGGATGGTGTTTATGTAATTGTCCAACTATGTCTTGTCTTGCAGTAGGTCGGTGGCTTAGTGTTTGTTGACGAACCTGTAGTTTTCATGTTCTAGAGGATTAAGGCACATATGATTCAATCACGATGATGAAGTTTGTAGGTTAAGTTTTATGGTTGTGTGGAGTTACCATTTTAACAGCAGTTCTTTTACACTTAGGTATGTGACTAGGGAACATGTACTTATGCTTTTAGTGAGGCGTTCATGTGAATTGAAGGAGTGTAGTGTGTGCACTTAAAAATACTACGTAGTGTAATTTAAATCCATATATTCATTTGAAGTGAAATAACATATTTGAAATGCGAATTCTCCATATTCTCATTTAGGATATATAACAGCAAACTGATTTAGTCAATCATATATGGATAACTATGTGCATCTCCTTGATTACAGTCACTTACCTGTTCAAGACAGATCCAAGTGAAAAAAATACTCTCTGCATTTTTATCGTTCTTTAATACACTTCCATTTATGAATTAGAAAGAAAGAGTGAAAGTAGACTGGATCAATTATTATTGGGCAGATATGATAAAGATTATAGCATTATTGATTGTAGCTTACAATTTTGGATGTTTCCATGCTCCCAAAACAGGTGATTCCTGATTCAATAGCAAGACTACAAAATCTTGTGGAGCTTGACATTTCGTCTAATCTTTTGGAGTCCCTACCAGACTCCATAGGATTGCTGGTTAATCTAAAGACACTTAATCTGTCAGGGAACAAGCTAACTGCTCTTCCTGAATCCATTGCTCTTTGCAGGTGTGCTTCTAGTTTGTTTTATAAACAAAGTTTCCTGCATACTTGATATTGGCAGCGCATTTGTTTCCTCTATTTTCTGCTTCTCTTAAGTTTATCTATAATGCAACTGTAGGTCACTAGTTGAACTAGATGCGAGCTTTAACAACTTAATGTGTCTGCCAACAAACATGGGATATGGACTTGTTAACCTTGAGAAGCTCTTGATCCAGTTGAATAAGATACGATTGCTTCCCTCATCCATTGGAGAAATGAAATCCCTCAGATATCTTGATGTTCATTTCAATGAGCTTCATGGCCTACCTCAATCCATTGGGAAACTAACAAATCTCGAATATCTGAACCTTAGCAGTAATTTCAGTGATATGAAAGGGCTTCCTGAAACAGTTGGTGATCTGATTAACTTAAGGGAGCTTGACATCAGCAACAACCAGATCCGAGCTCTTCCTTACACGATAAGTAGGCTTGAAAAGTTAACAAAGCTCAACCTGGAGCAGAATCCAATCATAGTTCCACCGTTAGAGGTTGTAAATCAAGGAGTTGAGGCTGTGAAGGAGTTCATGGCCAAGCGGTGGCTTGAGCTCATTGAAGAAGAACAACAGAAAAACATGGTTCAAGCAAAAAATCAGCAACCACAGACAGGAGGATGGCTGGCGTGGGGAACCTCATTGTTAAGCAATGTTGCCGGTGTTTCTGAAAGTGTGGCAGAATATTTTGGCTCTAGAAAAGCTCCTAGAGACCCTTGGTTGGAACAACAGCTGTGATATAAGTAAGTATCTCCGGGACTCTCGTGTTTCTCTACGTAGATACTGGTGTCATAATTTTGTGGGATGTACTGTTGGTGATAGAGCTTTTGGACTCTTTACTTGTAGATACTGTAATGAACACGCTTCTGTTAACATCTCAATGCGAGGTTTTTCTTTTTCTTTTTCTTTTTGGACGTGGCTTACATTATTTACCCTCACAAATTACAAAACACTCTATTAAAGTTATATTTACAATTTATTTTTTCTTACAATCGTTTTTTTAAATCGTTGGATTAAAATTAAATCAACGGTTATAAAATAAATAACTACAGACTCAATCATTGACAGCACACTTTAAACTATTAACTATCAACTCAATCTGATTGACAAAAAAAAAAATTACCATATTTTTTTAATTCTAATTTTGTTTTAATTGAACAATCTTAACAATGATTTTGACTATGCGATAAAATAATTCTTGATATTTATATCCAGATAAAAATTCTTGAAATTTTAACATAAACCTCCTAATAACCAAGAGAGGGATCTAGTATTAAAAAAGTAGGTGTATAATTTGAATAAGGGAGAAATTATATTTATAATTATTTTTTTATTATTGAATTAAAATTAAACCAACGACTATCACATAATATTATTTTCTACCCCAAATAATATCTCTATTATTACAAAAATAAAATCATAATTAAAAAAAAATAGAAAGAGTGCAGAATCCACACTGAATAATTCTCTTTCCCTTTTGGTTAATTTTGGTAGTTCGTCCTGCACGTGACTATTACTTTTTTTTTTCTCTTCCAATATTATTTACTATGTAGACTTCCATTTCAACTTGCTTTGACTTTGCATATTTTAATTTGGGTGCGATTAAAATTTGATTGCGGTCGTAGTTGGCGGCAATGCTTCCAGCTCATAGTCATCTTTGACCGCTTGCAAGGCAGCCCCTATGAGTGTATGTATAAGTGAATTTTATAGCTAAAGGTTTTTATGTTTCTTATGAATGAATGGGGATACGATGGATGAAGATGGCAATTTTGGATAAGGAGGGAAAAATTCTCCTACACAGTATCTTACCGTTAACAGACATTAGTTAACGAAATGAGTAGAATGATTTACGGAATATACTCTTTCAAGGTCCGTGGGTTTAAACTTTAAATGATATATCAGTGAGGGAACAATTTGACAAACAGTAGCAGCCGCAGGGGCTAATTTGGTAATTACAATAAAAACATGATGTTGTTAGTATAAGTACTGGTTGTATATTTTGTGTATAATTATTCCTTTGTTGGTTGAATCCACTTCTGAATCTCAAATTTGTCTGGCAAGATGAGTTCCTATCAGTTAGTCAACGAGTCTGCTTCCCTTTCCTTATCTCCTAAATTTATCCTCCCAGAGAACCAAAGACCAAAACTTTCAGAGGTTACATCTCTAGCCTCAATTCCCATAATTGATTTGAGTGATCATAGTTGTTATGATGACAGCCCTTCATCCTCCTTGTTGGTTCAGAAGATATCACAAGCTTGTGAGGAATATGGGTTCTTTCAGATTGTGAATCATGGAGTTCCTGAGCAAGTTTGCAATAAAATGATGACTGCAATGACTGACTTTTTTAATTTGCCTACAGAGCAAAAAGAACACCTCTCCACAACAGATCTTACCAAGAATATAAGACTCACCAATTACTTCCTTCAGGTGGAGGGTGGAGGAAAGGTGAAGATGTGGAGTGAAAGTTTCTGTCATCCCTGGGATCCTATTGATGATGTCATTCATCTTTTGCCACAAAAAATTGCAACCCAATATAGGTGAGGAATTTTCCCTTTGACTCTATCCCTTCCAGAATTAGTTGCACTTTATGATAAGCTATTTTAGTTTGTGTGTTGTTATGAGTAATGACCCATAATTGTAATATCTTTGTTCATCACAGAGAGGCTTTCACCGATTATGCAAGGGAGATTGGTTCATTGATTAGAAGGCTTCTGAGTTTGATATCAATGGGACTTGGTATAGAGGAGGATTACTTGCTGAAGATACTGGGTGACCAACCAAGAGTAAGAGCACATGGAAATTTCTATCCACCATGTCCAGACCCAGAGCTGACCTTGGGTCTCCATGAACATACTGATATTAATGCTCTCACAGTCCTTTTGCAATCACAAGTTTCTGGTCTCCAAGTTATCAAAGATGGGAAATGGGTTGCTGTACCAGCTATTCCCAATTCATTTGTGATCAATTTAGGAGATCAAATTGAGGTATCACTGGTGTGCTTTTCCTAGAGATTCTCTGTATCATTAAAAGCGTATAACATCAACTATAGTTAAAAAACAATGGTCGTACACATTAAAAAACAATGGTACCCACACACATTATTTCACAACTAAATGATTAAAACTGATGGCGTGGATTTATATGTAGGTTCTCAGCAATGGAAGATTCAAAAGTGTGCATCACAGGGCCGTTACTAACAAAGTGCTTCCACGTGTGTCGATGGCAATGTTTTATGGACCTAACATGGACACCGTAATTGGCCCCATTGATGACTTAATAGATGAGGAACACCCTCCCAGGTACAGAAAGTATCGCTTCTCTGAGTTTCTTGAAAAAGTCTTTAGTCAAGAAGGGACAAAGGTGGGGAAGGAAGTCTTTGAGTTGCCATATTAGAAAATAAAGAATGTTGTGCTTTCAAATGTCGCTACTTTCTTTTTCTGTTCCCACTGCCGAGGCAACGAAAGGCAATTTCTATAAACTGGGATCGATGAAATAATGGAAACAATTAAATAAAAGTTATTCTTATTGTATACTGATTATTTAAATAAATAGTGTATTCAAATGTCTCTAATTCTGTTTTAATTGTTGACTTGAGCCAACCAAAGGCGATTTATCTGTGAACTGGGATCCATGAAACCATGTTATTATTAACTAAATAAAAGTGATTGTTCTGTCATTCTGCCATAGATAAGTGGTTCCTGGTGTACCTACTGCATTATCATCGCTCAAGCCAACAATGACGCGAAGAACCAATTCAACTCAAAAACTTAAGCTATTGGGTGAAGCTATGGTTTTATATATCTCAATACGCCCCCTCACACAAGAGCCTCACCAGGCTTGAAGAGTGGACAATGCACAGGCCTACCTACCTGTGCGAACAAAGAAACTCCACAAAGTGGGGGGCGGCGAAGATCGAATCCGGGACACGAGGCTTTGATACCATGTAAAGAAGCAATTCAACCCAAAAGCTTAAGCTATTGAACAAATGAACACCACAATTAATTAAGGGGGATCCAAATACGCTCTTGAGAAACCGCTCTCACTGACGATATCAGAATTTCATGAGTAATAGTGTATTAACTAAGTTGCTTGACATCTTCATGTGGTTTTTTCTTTTCGTAAATTAAAAGGAACCAACTTATTATCTTTGTGGATAGGAATAGAAAGTTTTCTTCGCCCACAAGTGGATTCTGTTATAAAGAAAAAAGGAAAAAACTTAACGGAATCAACTCACTTTTATTTTTATTTATGTGAATACAAAAAAAAAAAAAAAAGACAAATATTTTTCCTATATGGATATGCTAATTCCATTCTAGAGAAAAATACAAAACGGAACTTTTGTCAAAGCAGAGAACTGCCTGTAGCAAAAAGTTGAAGTTATAAGGCCCCAACCTCAATATATAACAATATCAAAGAGCTCTTGACTATGACATACTTTTGTAGGTAAGTTTTTTTTTATTTTATTTTATTTTTATAAAATTACACTATTGTAGCATAAGAAAAATCAATAATTAAAGGGCGTTTGTCAACTCTTGAAAATTGAATAATTTTCAGAATGTTATCAATTGACATTCGATCACTTGAAATTTGACAAATTATTTCTTATTGCGTCGATCAGCCAGGAAAATGAGCTTCTGCCAAATGAACTTTTTGTCAGTATGGGCTACCATAGAAGAATTGAATATTATTGGGCTCACAATTGGAAGACAGAAAGAAGCACGAAGACTTGCTTTTGCTTCCATTCCAACCCTTCCCTCTGTTGGGCTTACATGATCATTCTCCATTAGGTGCCAAAGACACACATAGTACTGATCAAGTTGTGGATTGTGAATCTATCTTCCCTCTAGCATTACTTTATCTGGGCTTACGGTAAACACTAAGATCACCTCAATACAAGAACTGTAGCAAAGAGTTATACTCAAAAATCAAAATAACACGGCAAACCAAAGGGGGTTGGCTCAAGTGGTAAGGTACTTGGGTTCGCTTAAGCAAGGACTCGAGTTCGAGACCTTGTGTATGCAGAAAATCCTCGCTGGGAGACTCACCTGCTAATGCTAGGTAACCTACCCAGGTCGAACTGGACATAGTCGAAAACCAGTGGAGCAATCAAAAATAAAAATAAATAACACAGCAAGGTTTTAAGTTCTCTCACCATAATTTTACTAACTTGACACATATTTTCACTAAATCCCTAAATTCCTGCAAGACATTATAAGAATTGGGAGAATCAATATGATTTTAAATATGCAATTTGACTTAACATTCTTAAGGAATTTGGCGTAATTTTTTCACTAAAAGCATTTGCGTACATTCTAACGCATGTATAAGATATGTGAATTTATACATACATTACCTGTTAAACTTTGAGGAGTTCACATGCAAGCTTATAAATGTCAGCTTTTTATTGGCAAGGTGGTATTTACTTTGTATTAACACAATTAAAGACAATGCAATTGAACCCTCATAGTTATATGAAGAACATGTAACTAATATATATTCACATTATCACATACATAAGCAAACAGAAGCACATATACAGATTTATGTCTTTGCTGTTTTTTATTCATTATTACTTACTTTCGACCTTTTTAAAGATATTGTAACGAAAATAAGTTAAGAACTCATGTAAAGAAGTCAAGTACGTACATCTGAATTCTGAAACGAGATTTAACTTATTGGGTTCTAGCGCTACGTATTTGTATTGAACGACTAACAATTGTTATTGGAAGATCTTGTATTTTCTTGATCTGTCCCTGACGACTACTAGTACTTTTAAATTCTGATGTAAAGAACCAATTCAAATAAATTATGTTAGATGAGAGTCTTTTTATTGATTTATATTTATTTGGTAATCTAATGATTTATTTTATTCTCTAATATACCATTTCACGCAAAAGTCTTTTGGACTTGAAGCGTGAATATTGCACATGAGTCGGTCTTAAAATTTCTCAAACAGAAAAATTGCTAAGTCTTGTGCTGACAAATACAATAGTATATGAGAACAGGGATTTTTTAGTTTCCTTTATCTAATCTGTCCTAGTTTCTTGAACTGCAAGTAATCAACTTACTAATGACAAAATTTAGCAATTAAATTGCTCAAATTTGTATCAAAGAAATGACTCTACTCACTTACAAACAATTAAGATTCAATTATAAAGTACTCGAATATCAAATTTCATGATTTTCCCTTAAATTTTGCATCTCTGCATTTTAAATCCTGTAGCACCTAACTTGACCGAAATTGAGTGTTGGAGCACTTAATTGAATTTTCCAAACCCAGTAATGAAATAAATCAAATTAATCCCTTAATCTTGAATCTAGAAAAAAGTATCTTTTGAGTCATCAACAAAAATCACGAGCCCAATTTAATCTCATATAAAAAAAATATCGACTCATGGTCCCTCTAAAACTCAAAATAGACCCATGTTAGACTAATGTCGGTCTTCTTTGAATTTCAGAGGGACCACGAGTCAATTTTTTCTAAGGGATTAAATTAGACCCCGTGATTTTTGTTAAGGACCCAAAAAATACTTTACTCTTGAATCTAATTCATTTACGACGTAACCCCAATTTCTACTCCAGATTATCCCTAATCTTGAAGTGTTCAATTAACAAAATACCACAAGACCTGATTTCCCAATCGGATTTCATGCAAAGAAGTGTTAAAAACCCATTCACATAGGTTTTAACAAGAAGACGATGCTAATTAAAAATCAAGAAACATGCACAGCAAGTAATGTGATTAAAAGGTACTCATCACTACATTCAATATACGAGAAAGAAATTTAGAAATTCATGTTGCCCGAAATTTTAACAAAGAAAATCTCGAAGACAAAAGATATGTTCATTATTTACCAATATCAAAATGCATAAAACAGTAGAGGGAAAGTTAAGATACAAACCAATGTTTGAATGAGATGATGAAATCTAAATGACTTAACAACAAAAAGATGAAATCTAAATTCTGCCTTTGAAGTTCTGAAATTCTTGAATCCCTTCAAGAAGATCTTCTATCTCGTGCTTACTTCAAACATACAAAACTCAAACTCAAACTTGGAATTTCTCTCCTACTAAAACTCAAGAACGGAGATTCACATTTTACAATTCCTAACTAAAAACTAAAAAAAAAAATCCAAGAGTCATTGTTCTCTCCTTTCACTTCCAAAATATTATCCAAGTGCCTTTTGTTTCCTTTTATGAACATGTCAAGAATAATGAGTAAAATTAGCTACATTGACATTTAGAGGACTAGCCACCAATTTGGGCTGATTCTGACTATTATTAGGCCTTTTTCATGCCCATTTGAGTTATATTCAACCCATTACCATATAGAGTATATTGCTAAGTTAGGTAAAAATCATAACTAACAACAGGTCCAATTTTGGTTTACCTTATAGTTATTTCATTTCACGTAAAAATGATGGGTGAAGAGGATCGAACTTTTGACCTCGTAATAACTGAAGATTTCATACTTTGTAAAGAATCAATTCAGCCTAAAAGTTTAAGTTATTGGGTGAGAGCTTTTTTAATAGTTTATATTATTCTCTAACATCTGATGTACGAAATTTAAACTATTGGGTGATACATATGTGTATTGAATTACTAACAATTATTATTGGAAAACCACGTAGGTGGGCGTGATGGCTCAGCATCTCGTCCCTTAAGCAAGTGGTTGGGGGTTCGGACCCCAACTCTTGTGAATGGAAAGCATTCCGTTGCCAGCTCTTTACCGCTTTATGCGCTGACCCGGGGCGAGGGATTAGTCTCATGGCTATCGGCTGTGGGGATACCCAGATGTAATCCAAAAACAAAAACAATTATTGTTGGAAGATCTCGAGTTTTCTTAATCAAGATTTTCATAATATATAGATTATTAATCTTTGTAATAAAATAAAATAAAAGACATAGAAGAGTAATTTATTTTTAAAATTTCAATTATCGTGTGTTGCTTCCATTAATCCTAAAATCTTAATTCCTTTTTTACATCTAGGGGGTGTTTGGTATAGGTATTTGGTACGGAATGATGGAAAAGTGGGGTGAAAAATATTTATTTACCATGTTTGGTATGAGTATTGTGAACAAAATGTTTGCAATTTTTTTTCAAGTATTTCCCTTTTGAACTACACAAAGGAAAAAAATTATCCCACTCAGCCTTTGGTATTTTTTTTTCCATAGTCTTGGATTATGAAAAAGGAACATCTGATTCACTTTTCCCTAAAAAAAAGGAATGTTTGATGATGACTCACTTTTCATAAGGGTATTTTGATAATTTCGATTCACATTCCCATCAATATTTTATCATCAATCAAACATAGCATAAGTAAAATTAATCCAACTCTCCTGGCAAAATTTTGGTCAACCAAATATTTTTTCGTAACTTACCGGGATAAAAAAATTCCTACCAAATTTCCAATAATCATTTTTTCTCGATAAAAAAAAAATATCTCTCATACCAAACGCTGCTTAAGTTAACTTGCAAGGATATGTACTTGTAGTTGTATGTTAATTACAGACCACTTCGTTAATTTCCTACTCTCTCTTTTTTTTTTTTTTTGGTAATATCCTACTCTCTTTTTTTAAGTATGAGTCAATATTCAAGATTTGATATCCACAATATATACATTTAATATTATTGTATTTTGAATATTTTAACGTTCCATCATTTCATATATTTGATTATTTTGAATAATAATTCTATATTACTTTTTTGTTTTGGATTATTATATTGATCAAGTGTGGTGCTGTAGTTTCGCATATGGATTGTTAAAATTTTAACGATATCCATACAATTATTATATTTACATGGTTAATCGTTAATATGAATATTTTCATATTATTATATTTGTTTTGATTATCAGAAAAAATTTATTCGTCACTAGCATCAAGGCTCAACAACTGACTAATAGAGTCCGTGGTTCTTCAAGCCAAGTAACCATGATCACCTACCTTGGCATGAAAATTAAGATGAAATTAAATGCTATACACAATGAGAGCGAGCGCACGTACATTTTTACGAACTAAAATAATGTATACAAGGTGATTTATTTTGCCTCGGCAATAAATACGGTACGTATATTGGGAGTGGGAACTATAAATGAAAGCTAGAGAGAAACAAAAGTCGACAATTCGTGTAGATGGGCCGATGGAGCAATTTATGTACACACTCTTTATGCATATGATGATGCTGTCCCAGAAAGATCCATGGATCTTAATTAGTTGTTCTCCACTTCCAGTTCTAGGTACTTGCTCTAATGCTCTCTCCACCATTATTTATTTCTCTCTTGAGGGTCTCCTCTGGTTGGTTTTTGCCAGTAATAATGAGGACAAATTCTGGCCAACACTAGCAGTTGCAGAGGCTGGGGCTTTATTTATTTATTTTTTCGGATAACATGGGTATTGAAGCTTAGTTGTTTTGCAATTTTATTTTTTGTGTGGACAATCACAGTAAAGAAAACCTAGTAATACCTAATAAACACTCCCCATAGGTATTCCTGTACATGTTATATGTACACAGAACACAGGAAATAGGGTCAATGATCCTTTTGCCAGGCCTTCTTTTTAAAAAAATTATCACTTTTATCTCTTTTTCCAAATTATATATTAATTAACCCTATTTGATCACGATGACCGTCAGTTACTCACACCAGTTACTTGAGTAACTTATGTAGTGGACAACTCAAATTTGGATTCACATTTTTTTTTTATTCAAACCAAGTTTTAAAGTCTTATACATGTATATATAATTGGATTTGTGATGAGTGTTTTTGGGTCCAAAACAATTGATGACAATCTCTATCCAAACTCTTTATATCCTAAAATTATGTAAATTTTTAAAGAGTATAACTTTTGGTTCGGTGATCCTACTCAAGGTGTTTTTTATTTGTTTCATGTAACTTTGTTATCTAAGCCATGACAAATACCCGGAGGGGATTTGAAAATACTTCTTTCATGGGTTTTGAGAATGACAAAGTAAATGAGCACAAATTTTTAAAAGCAATTACTGTCACATGAACATAAAGCTTAGTTTAGTAAATTTAATTTAGGGTATAAAGAGCTTGAAGGAAATTGTCCTCAATTATTTTGAATCCTTGAACCCATATATGAAGTCCAAATATGTGTCTACATGATATAATAAGCATGGATTAATAAAAAAAATGAACCAAAATTTACAAGTCATATTGACAATCAATATAAAATCATGTTTTGACACCTTAAATTGAATGGAGACTGCCCTCATTGTAAAGGACCAGCAAATACTTATCCCAAGTCTATTTATACATGTACAAGGCATTAGAACTTAATTTGAATAAAAAAATTTGTGGATCCAATTTTGAGTTGTCCACTTGCTTGAGTTACTTAATTGATGGTCAACTTGGTCAAACAAAAGCAGATTTATATATAAGTTTTAATAAAAAGTTATAATTAATAAATAGTTTAAAAGGGTCAAAGTGATAATAAAAAATTAAATACAGGGGCACAATAGTCAATCACCCTAGGAAATATGCCATTAATTTTATTTATTTATTTTAGTTTTGACTAACATTCTTTAAGTAAGAGACTAATCTCCGAAAATAAGATCTGGTTTATACCATATACATGCTTAAGACATCTAAACCCTTTTCAGTCATACTAAGTGCCTGTTTGGATTCTCTTTTTTTAAAGCTAGAAGCTCCTTATAAGTATAAGCTAGGCCAAACAGGTTTTGGGAAAAGCTCTTATAACGAAAAGCTCTTTTTTTTATAATGAAGAAAAAAGCTGAAAACTAAAAGCTCCTAGGAGGAGCTTTTTTTAATCTCTTATCTGTTTTTCTTGAATTGTGTGTTTTTTTTTAAATGAAGAGTGATAAAGATAGAGAGAGATAATTTTCTTGAAATATGTGATTTTAAGTCATTTTTAAGCTAAAACTTTTATATAATTTCCAAACAGCTTCTAGCTTCTTTTTTTAAACTCTTTTTTTTAGCTTTAGCTTATAAGTAGCTTCTAGCTTAAAAATAAGAGGATACAAACAGACTCTAATAGTCGTCGGTTTGCAAAGTAATAGACTAACAGCAATAGATATCGCCCTTTTTTATCCCAATTAATTAATTAACTGCTGATGGAGGCAAAAATAAATAGGAAAACATTATAACAATCGCCTCGATAATCTTTTTTAAGTCACATTTTCACATAGCAAGCGAGATTTTTAAAGAAGAGACAACGAGACATAGTACGAAAGAATCAAACCAAAAGAGATAAAGACGTCTTAATTAAGGAAAACTATTAAGCTTTCCGGCTCATCTATAATATTTAGTGTGTTTAGATTTTACAAATTTAATTTTGTTGAGTAGTGAATTTTTAAGTAGGGATTTTATATTTCAAAACTTTTATTCAGAAACTAATTTTAGTAAAAATAATATCGTTTAGATATTTTAGTAACAATAACTTATAGATGTATAATTATTAATAGGGTTTGTTTTTTCTAAAGTTACTTTAGATAACTTTATCTAATGTTCATTGAAACGACGTCGTTTTGGGACGGAAATCATGTTATTTTTGTAATTTTAATTTATTTCAGGGATATAATAGTCTTTATCATTCTAATTTTTTTATTTTTCAACCTCAAAACGACGTTGTTTTAATGAACATTAGACAAAGTTATCTAAAGTAACGTCAGAAACTTTTTTTCCTTGTTAATAAGGATGTATAAATATTTTTTAAGAAATATTATAATGTTAAATTCTAAAAAAAATAAAATTATCGGTTCTCTTGCCTAACAAATTAAAGCAAGATACAATGAAACATAAAAACTATGATTTGTTGCCAAACTGATTCAAGTTGGCACTCTGTGAGAAGCAAGTTCATAACTTGTAGACGGGATGCTACGGTTAATGTAAACTTTTAGGAGACGCAATCATGATCTACTCTACCAAATTTTAACAAAAACAGTAATTCCTTCAGCATACACACCCAAAGCTCCTCAACCTGCATCTTTCAAACAACAAGGCTGAGACGGATAGAATGAGCATTTCCTCTGCATCTGCAATATCTGATTCCAACGAAGAAAAAGGACCTTAGTGATCTCCTCCAAAGAAAGCTTTCAAGGAAGAAATCGTGAACATTTATACTAATAAAATCCAACGGACCTGCTTTCTTATTTGCCAATCAATATTAAAATAACCCTTCTTCGTAGTAAGTATGATCAAGTTTCTACCAGCCAATTAATTTTATTTGCCACAAAATCCCACAACTTCCAACTTTAATATTGTATATATATTATGGTCCTAAACCCTATTTATTTTTCAAGTATGTAATCCTTTTTAACCAACTCAAACAAGTACGGTAATGTGATCAATTTACATAATAGTTCCATGCCCTATTATAATCCATGTTCATGGATTAATGTCATTTTTGGTCCCCCTCTGATAGGAAGTTAATGATAAAACTTGGTCCATATGTGTACGTAGAACCAAGGTGGTGGAATAATTTCTTTGCGATTTGGAACCAGAAAGTTACACAACCAACGGTAGAAACTTGATTCTTCGTTTTGCTTTTACTTTCGGTCAGTACCAAAGTTTCATCCATGTCTATATGGGCCTTCAACAATGTACATGGTGTTTTGTCGTGTAACTAAAAATCCTCACCCTGGCAGCTATTGCCTTTTCGGTGAACTAGTAGCTTCAGTGTTGCACTTTTTCCCAGAAGACACTTCAATACCATTCTCCCTAGGGTTTCTTCTACCTTAAAAGCAATCCCACAACAAAACGCAACAATAACACTACGAAGAAAACGACAGCACAACCATACATTTACTCAAACCAGGCCAATGTTCTCCAAACAACAGCAAGAATATATTATATACAGATCCATACAAAGCAGAAAAAAAGTGTGCATGCAACAGGCACAAACTTTTTTTTCTAGTTCCAAGGTCAACGCAGAAGCTATCATTATCTAGCATATGAACACAAAGCAAGCAATTCACTTTACTCTGAGTATGTCGTTCTCATTATAACCCCTTTTCATCACCTTTTCAGTCTTCAGAATAGGAAAACCGAAGCAAACAAATACGAAGCATAAAGTATAGTGTATAGAGCAAAAGCGTGCTTAACCAAAGCATTGATATATATATATATATATATATATATGATAATATTAAAATCTGTTGCTTTCCCATCCATAATCGGAGACAGAGTACATAGTAAGTTCGGACGAACTAACCCAGTTCAACCGAGGAACAACAAAACCCTAAAGATCAGTTTCTGAATGTAAACATACACCAACGTTAACGGGGACAGATTCAACAACCTGGCTAAATACATAACTTAGTAATAAGAAGATAGACAAAAGCAAAAGATGCAGACACTGGACTTATCGTCAAATTTGCACCAAGCTACCAAAAAAATTGGCATACATAAACTATGCATTTTGCATCCTCACTGCAAAAGCATTAAGAAGCTCTGGGTACTGAAAAATATCATCTATGATTGAGTTCTCTGTCATCATTACTTGTTCATTACCCAGAGGCATAGCCTGCACAGTATTAAACCCATTAAAGTTGTCAAATTGTTGCATGGGAAAACCTTGATAATCACAAGAGACACCAAAACCCTCGTTCTTGAGAAATCCCTTCTTTGTCTCATCATAGCATTGAGCAGCGGAAACTAGCATGTGATCATATGCAGGTGGAGGAACCGACTCAGGGATGCAGAAAGTCTCTGTTTTTTGCGGACTCTTGCATTTCTTAGGCTTCGATTTCGGCAAGAACCTAGAAACTATCTCTTCCAACAAACCTGAGTCCGAAGGCTCTGTCGGAAAGAATTCAAAGTCTTCATCATCAGCTTCAGCGATTTTGGTTCCATTGGCGTTCATCTTGAAGGAAGAAGAGCCACTCACGCTGATATCATTGCCACCACAAGAATTCATCAAAGATGAACAACAAGCAGAGTACGATGGAATGGAGGAGCTTCCCTTGTCGTAAAACTGCTGAGAAGAAGAAGAAGAAGAAGAAGAAACCAAAGAATGGTTGTTAGAAGAGTTGAGATAGTCACGAAACAAAAGCATGTTGATGGAAGAGTTTCGCTGGTGGGTGGTTGTTGCCGCAGAAAAGTCAACCCCATGTGGGTCAGAGCATGAGGACCAACAACCTGCGCCACCAGATAAATGGCGGTTATGGCTGATCTTGTTGAACGGTTGCTGAGACTTGTTGGGGAAGTTGAAGGAAGGGAAAATGCGTTCGGTGGCGGAACAAGGGTGAGGTGGAGAGGTTGGATAAACGAAGTTGGTTCGAGCCTTCAGCCCCCGCATGGCTCGTGCGGCGCAGTCGTAGGCGCAGGCGGCCTCCTCCGCCGTGTCGAAGGTGCCGAGCCAGCGTCGCTCCTTCGACTGCGGGTCTCTTATTTCGGCGGCGTAACGGCCCCACGGCCTACGCCTCACACCGCGGTATCTCATGGCGCCACCACTGCCGCCGCCGCCGTTTTCTCTTATAGTTCTTTTGTTGGCGGTGGTGGGGGAGGAGTTGGCACCACGCTTCTGGTTGCCGGAGGTGCAGGTGTCCTGCGGGTCGGGTTCTGGAATCGGAGTCATCCCGTTGAGACGCCTCAGTGCTTCCTCCATATAGAGATTATGAAAAGAAAGAAAGGAAAGATAAAATCGGAGGTTATTGTGCTAATGGAGATTTTGTGATGTGGCCTTGAATTCGGTGCGGTATTATATTTATAGAGGTGTCCTATATTATAGAGAGTTAATGCACACATCAACAAAGGAGGTGTGGCCAGTTTCCTCTTCTTCTAGGAGGGATATTGGGAAGGTGATTGATTTAATCATGCATGTCCAACACAAGAATCGATGACACAAGAGAAACAAAACAAGCGGCAAATCTAAAATAACTGATATTTTGTTTTATTTTTATTTTCTGCTGTACTATTGGTTGTTAATACTATTTAATATTTGAGTAACGTTAAATTTATGGGTTTTATTAATCTCGTGTTAAAGAAGATAGTTATCAAATGTCATATAAACAAATTAGGTTTCACTATCTGAAAAAAAAGGTAGCACAGTTATCGAAGGGTGTGTAGGAAAGAAAACTTATCTCATATGATATGGGAATAATTTTTCCCTAAATTTATATATTTTTTATTTATAAATTATGTCATATATTACGAGTAATACATACTACTTAAATATGTACTAACCATATTACATAATGTAATATGTAAACAAAAAGTACGTAAATACAACTTATCTCAATATTTCCTAGTAAGTCATGGGAAAAAAACTACTTGTAAGAGAGTATTTTTTCTTCCTATACACTTTTTTAAAATTGTCTTACATTTTGTTTTTTTTTTTTTTAAATAATTGGTTCTATCACTATGTATCTAGGAGATATTTCCTCTCCTAAAACATGATAAAAAAGAAGCCCTACATTTGTCGCACGGACACGTTAAGATGCAACCGTTAATGCTTTTTTTATTGCTTTTTAGTTATTTGATACAAAAAAAGAAAGTTCACTCGGTTTAAGCGTTTGATAGTTAGTAATACTTGTTACAGTTTCTTAATAAATTCTTAAGAATCATAGTTTAAGTAGTAACAATTCTTTTAAAAGACTCTAGATAAATGTATTGAATTGTTCAAACGTTGTTTTTTTACATCCTTTAACCTGTTTCCGTATCCTCCCACAAAGTATTTGAAATTCATTTAAAATCATCTAACATGTGAATCAATAACATGTCATCATTTATAAATAGGTAGCTTTGATTAAAATTTGATAGAAATTTTTTTGTCATCCTTGTAATTATATTAGATTTATTAATTAGTTGAATAGTGAAAAAATCTAAATTTTTTTTTTTAAAAAAACTATACATGTCTATAAAAGTTTAAGGTGATTATGTTTCATTAATTGTCTTTGTTTTTATTAGTTTGGAGGTAATCGCTTGTTTGTGGAGTACAATAACTTACTGCAAGTTATAACTTATAAGAGCGACCCTGCATCCTGTGCGTGCATGACACGATGATAATTTCTTCTTTGTCTGTCCTTCATCGCATTCTACAGTGTTCGATGGAGCTGGCATAAAGATAGCTACCTTTCTTAGATATCTCACTTTTCAAAACAACATTACTAACCTTTATACCCAATGAACTTTTACGCATATCTATCTTAAATAGGCCTAGTGTTGCCGGACCGCTATTGTCCTACAACCAAAGACTTTTTCTTTAAAAGGCCACTATTGCCCAACCCCACTTGTCTATAATGGCCTGCTTTTACAAGTCGTGTATACTTTCAAATCATCAAATAAACCAACAATCGAAATTAATAAGCATGTCATATCAATAAGGATATTCTTCACGAGTGACTTAAGTCTTGGTTGATAAGAATTTAATATCTTTTATTAAAGAATTTAATTTTTCTTATGTTCTAGGATTATAGGAGAGAAAAAAAGTAGAGAGAAGTTAAATGTGGGTTTCATATTTTATATTAAAAAAATATATATATATTTGACACAGAAAATGAATTTGTGAAGGAAAATGAGAATATCTCATGTGGCATCAGAGTATTATTTCCCTTTATTAAATACTTTAAATCGTTTACAAGAAAATAAATAAATTTTTATAATTTTTCAGATTATTATATAATGTTAACTTTATGAAAGTGGCCATTTGATTCTTGGTGACTTGTGACAGCTAAGCACACTCAAGAGCAGTAATTGCCGGCGGCTATTTCCAAGAAAACGCAAGAAAGGATAGAATTTTGGGGCGATAGAATGGAATGATACAGATTGCCTTTTTTGGGTCGTGTAAAAGTCATGATTGAAGATTTTTTCAACAAAAAATAAAAAAGTTATGATGGAAGATTTTAATGAAACTAGAGTAAGTATAATTACAGAGTTTAGGATCTTCACAGCCTTTCCTTCCAACTACACAAAGTGTTGTAAATCACAATGAAATTATAAAAAAGAAAATTGTAAACTGCATTTTAAGGGTATCCATATAACATGTGATAAAGGATGGAGATTTTGGTGCAGGAAAGGTGATAAAATCAAATGTACACTAACACTAGGTGATAAAGCTACTATTAGCTAGCTAGCTGTGAGTTTTTTAAATCAAATTTTATGGGAAGTTGGAGGTGAAGTCTTGGGGTCCCTTGTTATTATCATTCTGAATGATTACACTGGCGGCGCTCAGAAGTTGTTCCTCCTACTTTGGTTTTTTACGTTATTCTTTCCACATGTATTTCCTTTTCAGTGAGGTTGATTATGAAAGTGTCGATACATTTGCTGATTTGCTTATTTATCTTGCAAAACTAGTGTTGAGGGTGAAAACCAAGAATTTAAGTATCACATGGACTTGTCTGATGTATAGGGGTTTATTAGGGTGAGAGATTAGGCCCTGTTGGTAGATATAAACTGACATAAAGATCGTTACTGCTTGTACTATTCGAGTCAGAAAAAAGGGCAAAGGAACGGAGGCTTCAAGGATATATGGCAAGGGAGAGATAGCTCCAAACGCCTCTCCCTCAAAATTTGCCTAAATTCCTTCTCCTTGACTAACTAATCTTTTCATTACAATTGATTTCTTTCAAACTAAATTTGTTCTCAAAATAAAAAAATTATGAATTGGAAAAGGCAAAAGTATTTTGCAGTTGCGGCAAAAATACTTCGTTTGTCATCGACAAAATATTATCATGATATATACGACGTCAAATTTTGATAATGATTTACTTTAGAATCATCTATACTTCTGTAAAAAAAATTTATCATATATACCTATGTGCTTTAAGAAAAATAAAAAATCACATGGATATATGTGATAAAAACATACCCTTTTACAAACTACAGGAGCAAATGTGATAGAAAAAATTAAACCACATGGACATAAGTAATTTTGAAACAAACTATAGGGAGAAACTGACTTTTTCTATATTTTTAATTTTTGAATATTATCGTAAACTGAATATAAAAATCATATCTTTGAAAATCGAGATTCTCGGACAAAAAAAAATTATCCTCTACCAAACACCTCCTTAAAAGATTTAGTAATAGCATTATAAGATGGGTTCGTTTTTTGTCATGTGACTCATGTCAGATGACAAAAATATTTTTTTGCACACACAAATCAAGTATGGATCTCATGCTTAAAAAAAAAGGTCAAAATACAAAACCATATTCTCAAGATACTGAACCGGATCCTTGTTGCAGGAATACACAGTGTCATTCCTACAACATAATTCTTTTATTTCCCTTATAAAATTATTAGTTATTGAATCGAAAATAAAGTTCTTATGTTGTTTAGAAATTATTTGCATAAATTTAATATATCGAAATAATTGACAATAATGGTCAGTGTACTAATAACACATTATTAGATAATAATTGACAATCGTAATTAATTAATGAGTAGCTATTGTAATAATTGATATACTCATAATTTATTAACCTAGTGCACCGAATTTATTTGTGTGAGAATTATATTCTTTATTTAAATTAGCTGCACTATAATTAAAAAAATATTAGATATATTAAATTATAAGCAAAAATCATTACATTTGACTAAATTAGAATTTAAAATATTATTCTTTTCTGTTACTTTTTAATATTAAAAGTAGAGTTAAAAACAGTTAGTACTCCATTAATTTTATAAATTAATAAGATAGGAATTTTTTTCATAGATCTCTTAATTTATAAGGTAATGCTAAACTACTTACCACTTACATCAATTTATATGGGATTATTCTAAATTAATAATGAAGATATGCAACTATGTTAAAACTTATTCGAGAAAACTTAGATGCTATTATCTTATAATTCTGCTTGACTCAATCTGGAATAGTCTAATAACAATAGAAATCTCCAAAAGGTAATCCTAAAAAAGCAATTAATCTAACGGCTAAAACTATAAACATTGAAACACTCGATATTTTAATGATAAATTTCAATTACAGAAGAACACAAAATGTTCGCAATACATTATAGTCATTGCATGTGTTTGGCTTGGAGGTTATTAGGATCATCTCGTTTTGTGAAAAGGCTTGGAAAACCATAATCGTTCTCATCGGTTATACTAAATATTAATTCAGCAAATAACAGCTTGAAATTCATTTGTCATCATCGTCGTCCTCGTCCCTATATTATGACTCTGGACCAGTTTAATAGCTACGTACAAGGGCGTTAAATAATTGTAGTTTGGCATGATGACATGCATTGTTCTGGGTTTCGGAATAGGTCTGCGGCAAAACTATCCTCCCCTACTTTCAACCACAACCACTGTTAATTAACTTCCTCGCATTGCTACGCTTTTCACTTATATTCTTCTTCTCCGAGGACGGGGAGATCAATAATCTTCTGCCATCGAAGAAGCCCTACCTTGTTACCAAAAAAGAAGAAGCCTTACCTCTTTAGTCAAGATTAACTGAACCAGGTCTTGAAAATTATATTCAGTGTATTTTAAGACCAAATTCAGGATACACTCATGCTAACATAACTAGACTCGGTCTCACATAATATATGAAATATTGATTTAAGACTTCTTGATTTAAATTATTATATATTGTGCAATTTGATAATGTTTTGATATTAATATAGTTGTATTTTTAGATTTTCACTTTTAAATATATTTTTATG